ATTTGAACATTTTTATAAAAACGAAAAGTATATTTTAAACGTGTATTTGCAAAGCAAGTGTTTTATAACAAGGTGTACGTAAAAAAACAAAATGGGTCAATTGATTTAAACAATCATTAGATATTTTAGAAATTAACCGGCAAATAACTTAACGACATTAGTTCTTGTTGGCAAAATGACCACGAAGAGAAGCTATTTAGAAACTTCGATGTCAATCATTATTAAAACAATCAAATAGCCTTGTCTAGCTGTGTGATTTGTATGGTTGGTCAATAATGATAAATATATCCAAATGATGCGTTGTGATCTATACCTGTCTCTGATATTGTTCTATGTAATTTTCTTTTTTTTTTGCCATTCAATAGAATGGAAAGCAATAAAACAAACATCCGTGGTAAGCTTACAATTATGAAATTTTTAATTTAATTGTCCGTCTAATATATATATATTTACATGTTTGAAGCAAAGCTACACCATAGGTTATCTATATTCTATCAACCATGAGGAATTGAACCCCGGATTTTGTCGTGGGAAGTCCGTAACTTGGCCCACTGTTTAATATATATACTTGTTTATTTAAAACAACTAGTAGATTGTGAGGTTCCACTTTCATTTCGGTAGCCTTGGGGTACAACCCTGGGCAAGTGCCAGCAACCCCGGAGCCCCCCAATCCAGGGATATGGTGAAGACGTTGACGAAGCAAGATGGTGGATTACCTTGTCTGGTGGAAGCTTGATTTAACTGAGTAAACAGCGGAGAAGGCATGACCGGATAGGTATCACATGGGAGTGCCACATCGGAAGCCTTCCCAATAGCGCATGGTGTCTAACAAGGTTGCGTATTAGCTCCCACGTTATTCACTCTGTTTCTAACTGCTATTTTGGGTCGCGCATCTTCTAATATTGCCAAGAAAATTTACATTCACACAAGACTGAGGGCTCGCACTAAGACTGTGGAAATCTGTGTCAGAGAGTTGCTGTTTGCTGACGATGCGACGTTTCTATCTAATTCGATAGATAGTCTGCAGACCATAGACCATTTTAGAATTACTAACTCAACATTATTTATATCACAACAATCGATTTATGTTGCGATCGAAGATAGGCGGAGTATAACGACTGAATTATTCGGTTTTATTAAATTATTTTAAGACACAAAGCTACACGATGGGCTGTCTGTGCTATTCCCACTACGAATATCGAAACCTAATGTTGATGGTTATAAGCCTCTTACCGCTGAGCTACTCGGGTTTGAATATGACAGGTTTAAAAATGAATTGTTTGAAATGTCATTTCAATATACGTATCTATATTCACAAAGTATTCTAAACATTAATAAATAAACTAAGACCATTATTCAAGAGTTTTTAAGATATTTAGTGGTTTGGTAGAAAAGTGTATTTATTTTTGAACATTTTCTTATTTAAATATCTTCTGGGATTGTTGTGCGTAAAGTATTATACTGAGGTCAGTGATGAATATCTGCGCCACAGTTTCTACGCCGGCCGCAATATACGTCATTGTTTCAGGCGAAGACTTGTTCAACTCTTGATTGACGTCATAACCTCGAATGTCAGCGCCGAATTCGTGATAACAAGATTGGTTCCTGTGATGTTGTAAAACCTTGTTTACCGTGAGATAACGTTTGTGATCATTGAATAGAGTTGTTTAAACATTGTTTAACAATAAGTAAAAGCTTGGAATGGCCTATTCTTTCATTGGGTTGTGTGTCTGTGAGCCAGAGTAGTTTCAGAGAATTCCACTCTTCATCAGTGACCCTGGACACTACCACCAATGAAATAATAGACCAAACCAAGCCTTTATAGTTGTGAGGTATCGAAAATCCTTTATTCAGTTTTTGTTAAATCAATACCAACAATCAAATTTTAAAAAATCTTCCAAAGATTTGGTTTGTTTTAAATTTCGTGCAAAGCTACAAAAGGGCTATCTGTACTAGCCATCCCTTATTTAGCAGTGAAAGACTACAAGGAAAGCAGCTAGTCATCACCACCCAATGCCAACTTTTGGACTACTCTTTAATCAACGAATAGTGGGGTTGACCATCAAATTATAACGCCTCCCCCACCCACACGGCTGAAAGGGCGAGCATGTTTGGTGGGACGGGGATTCGACTGTGAGTTGGGCGCCCTAACCACCTGGCCATGCCGGGCCTACACAATAAAATCCTCCCATGGCCGAAACGACAAACACATCTGGTGGGGCAGGGATTTGAACCCGTGCCCCCCAGACTGTGAGTCGAGAGCCCTAACCACCATCTTCGAAATGAACAAGACAAAAAAATTAAAGACTTTTGTATTGATATTGATTATTAAGTGTTACACTTTGCATGGATTTAGTTAAAGCTGATTTTGATAATGGGTATACTTTGGCTAATGTAAATTTTCAATATAAAGAACTATGCGTTAAAACTATAGCTCAAATCTATACAATGGGCTATCTGCATTTTGCCCACTGTGGGAAATTGAACACAAGATATTCTGCAAATACATGTAATTATGAAAAGCAGGAAAAAAATTCCCATGTTTGATTTTACTTGATGTTGTTCAGTTGCTACAAATAATCA